GGATCAAACAGCTCTGCATTCTCGGCACCTCTCTACACAGGAGTCATGTGGCTCTATGACTGCTGAAAATCCAGTGCCCAGCACCCTGAGGGTGCTCAAGGCTCTTGGTAACGGGACAATCAATGAAAGAGAGGGCTTCCTAATGCAGTGAATTATGAAGGTCACCCTGAGAGCCTATGCACTCTACATTTTGACTGACCCCATAAGGGTGACATTTCCAAGGCTCCAACCTCCCCCACCCCACCCCACCCCCCTCCCCCAGGGCCTTTGCCCATGTTGTTCCCTTTTCTTTCTCCTTCTTCAGGTTTTTGTCTCACCCTTGCCTCCTCTGTCTGAGGGTCTCTCTCCCCTGAGCCTCTTTGTGACACCCGCCCCTTGTTTATTTCCTTCACAGCATCTGTAACATGTGACTAACTCAATAGGACGCTTGATGTTGTGTTGGTAGCTTGCATGTCCTTGAACATGAGCTCCCAGAGGCGAGGAAACTTACCCATTCTGACCAGAATTCTCCATTAGACAGAACGGAGTCTGGGGCACAAGAGGTGCCAGTAAGGGGCTGCAGAATGGATGAAGAAGGAGTCCGAAGACTGCTGTGTGTAGCCATACACCGAGGAGTCCCAGAGGCCGCCCCTGAGAAAGGTCTTGCTTTCCCCATCAGCCCTGTCATTGTCCCCAGGAAGTCCCCAGCCTTCTCCTAACCCCCACCTCTGGGTTCTGTTCTCAGACTCCTGAGTCTGAGTGATTGAGGTGGCTGTCATCCGATTAGTAACAAGGGACTTTCAGAGAGGGATGGTGACTTGCTTAGGTTCACCTAGTGAGTTCTAAGCCAAATGGAGCTGTCAGGCTAGGACAGAAACATCCCAATGGCCTCCTCTCAGAGAGGAGGCTCTGTAACTCCCTCACCACTGGTCTCTTCCTTTCTCCGAGTCTCAGTTTTCGTCATCTACAGAATGGGAGCAGAAGCCCTGCCCTGGCTGAGGCAGGTCCTGGGTGGGCGCACTGTGGGCATGTGGCTAATATGAGTTGCTTTTGAAATCTGTTTTGGCCAGGGGTGAGAGGCAGGGAGTGGGTGTCTGGGGCAGCTGCACCTGAGGCCCTGGGAACCCTGGGAGATGGGCCTGTCTTCTCCTGACTCGGCAGCCTCTCTCAGCTGAGCATTCCCCAAGACGTCTCCTATCGGGGCCACCTCAGCCTATCCTAGGACAACTTAGTCCACCCTATGCAACTGCCCTCCCCTCTGGTAGCCTTCCACCACCACCACCCCCCACCACACCCAGCTCCAGTTCCCTCTGGCCAGGAAGGGCTGAGCTGGCAGCTTGGCCCCAAGTAAGGCAGAGAAAGAAAGGACCCCAAAAGTGGATGTGGGGGAAGGGCTGGCAGCCTGTTCTCTCACCTCGCTTTACCCAGAAGTCTACGGCCAGCCTGCCGCAAAGCAGGCCAACGGGGGCTCAGGTGGACTAGTTCAGCCAGGCTTGGATAGGCATCAGGTTCACTGGGCAGATGAGGAAATCCAGGCCCAGAGAGGCCCAGAGCCTTGACTGTGGTCACACAGCGAGGAAGGCAGAGTCTGCTCTGGATCCAAGTCAGGGTTCCGGTCCCACCTCGCTGGGAACAATGGAGAGGACTGGGTCCTGTCTGACAACCAGCAAGTTACCGGGGGTGGTTGGGTGGGGGATGCTCATCTCTGCTGCAGATGGAGTGGCCAGTTGGGGCCTCTCACGCTGGGGGACCTTTTCAGGTTGTTTCAGAGTTACTCAGAGCTCTGATTTGAGCTGTCATGAAAAGTCCCTTTGGCTGGGGGCCAGGGTGGTGGGTGGGGCCAGTGGCTCCTGTGAGCTTGCATGGGGGTGGGGTCCTCAAGCTCAGTCTTTGGGGGCACTGGAGGGAAGCGTGTGAGGAAGGGGCCGTGTGGGTGGGAAGACCCTTGTCAAGGGAAGGTTTGCCCCTGTGTTCTCAGATACCTTCCCTCTATCTCTGAACAACCCTTTGGTGGCTCCCAGCAACCCCCTGCCCAGCATTAGCTTCCCTTAAGCTAGCCCAGAGAAGCAAAATGTGGCCCTGTCCTGCACCATGTCCCTCACGGTAGACTGGGGAGCAAACTGCGGACCCATAGGGTTTTCATTGGCTGATTTTCAGGAGTAGATCTCCAGACAGACTGTCTTCCAAGTCTCTCTCAGTCTGGAATCTCTGCTGAATCTCTGTTCACCACCTACCTGGACACAGCAGGGCTTACTAAGCACATCTTCAATATGTTCCATTCAACAAACTCGAGATAGGCAATCTTGTTCCCACATTATAGGTGAAGAAACTGAGGCTCAGAGAGGTTAATCAAGGCCACACAGGAACTAAGTGGTGGAGCTGGGACTTGAGCTAAGGTCTGGCTGACTCCAGAGCCCAAGATCACAACTGGTACTGTGCTGGGGAGCCAGGTCCAAAGGCCACACCTGACCCGGGAACTCCCTGCTGTTTAGGAACGAGCGGAGTGGTCTGTCCTGCCTTCAAGGGCTTCTGCATGCACCATCTCTTGAGAGGGGGGCCCACTTCCTTTCATTCTGATAGTTCTCAGGCAGACCCGTGGTGGCACAGTGGTGAAGTGCTCGGCTGATAACTTATCAGCACATGGAGCCCACCGGCCCCTCCATGGAAAAAAGAGGCGGCAGTCTATTTCTGTGGGTGAAACCAAAAGCCAAACTCACCACCACTGACTCAAGTCTGACTCATAGCGACCCGATAGGACAGAGTAGAACTGCCCCTGTGGGTTTCTGAGGCTCTCAATTTTTGCAGAAGCAGAAAGACTCATCTTTCTCCTTCAGACCGGCCAGTAGGTTCAAACCACCAACCTCGATGTTAGCAGCTCCGTGATGTTGCCCAGTACACTACCAGGATTCCTTTGTAAGCCCTATGTAGCAAGTTCTACTCTGGGTCACTGCGACTCGGAATCGACTTGATGACCGGGCATGAGGGCATGAGGGAGGCCTCCCTGTTCCTCCAGAGAAGCCCGTGCTTCTCAGAGCTCCCGGTGACCTGCTCTCTTCTCTTCCACCTCCTCGGGAGCTGGTCTCCTTCCCTGGGATGCCCCTACTCCCCGCCCACCAGGCTGCCAGACCTGCGCTTGGGCTGAAGACACCTCGCTGGGCAGGGCGGAGGCTGCAGTGCCTGGGCCTCTGGCTCTGCCTTCCTCTCCCCACTCCCTCTGGGAATAAGGGCTCTCAGCTGAGGGGTTGACTAAGGACCTAGACACACACAGACACCTTGGCGTGGGGCTGAACCACTGTGGGAGCAGAGAACCGGCACCTCCCTCTGGGGGTGTCCCACCCGCCCTCAGATGCCCTGTCACCCTGACTCTGCCTCTCAAAAAATGCCCCTGAACTTGGGTCTTGGTTTTTCATGGTGCTGTCTAGAGGCTTGTGGCCTTGCCAGCAAACAGACTGAGGGCCCAAACTAGCTCATGGTGGCATGCTGGGAGGTAAGGGTCTCCCCCAAGGGCCTCGGTCTCCTCAGCTGGGAAATGGGCTGAGTGAGGCCCCCAGCTTCACCTAATGTTGTGAGGACAATAGGTTATCCTGAAATGCCTGAAACCGGAGTTCAAGGGGTTTGGGAGCCATGACTCTGTCTATCCCTGCACCTTCCGGGAACCTGGCCTTTGCCCTTCACAGACTCAAGGTGCCTCTCAATGAGGTTCCTTTCCAGAAAGGGAAACGGACATCCACAATCAGCTCTGGCCAGGTCTCCACCCTGCAGCCTTCATAAGTGGATGCCTCAGTGGTCTCACAAATAAGGCGCCCTGTGGCCTTGTGATTACAAGTAGGCTCCTAACCACAAGGCCAGCAGTTCGAAACCACCAGCTGCTCCACAGGAGAAAGAAGAGGCTTTCTACTCCCATCAAGAGTTAGGGTCTCAAAAACCCACAGGGGCAGCCCTCTAGAGTAGCTATGGACCAGAATTGACTCGATGGTAGTGCGTCTTTGAGTTTTCACAGCTAGTTCCTATGAGGGCAGAACTACTCCTGTCCCATTTGACAGGTGAGGAAACTGAGACTAGAAGAAACAGGGAGACTCACCCAAGGTCACCCAGCCAAGAAGTCACATGGCCAGGTTTTGAACCACCAGGTTTTTCCCATTCCACCATGCACTTCTGAAATCCCCACCATGCCCGGCTGCAGATGTCCTTGCGGGGAAAGCCACATGACTGCCTAAGACCCCCTGCTGACTGGCTCCTTTAACCTGCCTTCGCTCAGCATGTCTTCCGTTGCCTGGTCCAGGTGTGTGTGTACCTGCTTCTTCGTTTCCTTCTCTTTCGCCTGTCAACACTCACCTGTCCTAGCCTAGGAGCTCGCTGGGTTGAAGCTCACCCTGCTGCCTGCTAGTTGAACTGCCTTGGAAAATCACTACCTCATGGGGCCGGATTTCATCAGCCCACCAGCCAAGGATCAGGTGACAGAAAGGCGATAAAATGTAGACTCAGAGTTGAAATTATACATACACAACACTCATGGCCGTCAAGTTCATGTCGGTTCCAACGCAGAGCAACCCCAAGGGCAGGGTAGACCTGCCCCTGTGCGTTTCTGAGCCTGCAACTCTTTCTAGGAGAAGAAAGCCTTGTGTTTCTCCCCACCAACCACAAAAGGACCAGTTAAAAGCATCGTAATCTCTGAACCCCAGCCATCCTGCCCAGCCCAGCGGTCCAGAGCCAGGGCCCCATCCAGCCATGCTTGGCTCTGCAGCTGCCTGCTGGCTTTTGGAAAGCTCTTTCCACAGATAGCTCCTGGGGGCATCTCACCTAGCACCCTGCCTCCATGCCCCAGACTTGGGCAGACCTCCACCCACAGAGAACTCAGTCATCCTGAGGCAGGACTCCCTGTATAAGCCCTCTGTGCCTCTGTATCTCCATCTGCGAGCAGGGGACAGGCGCCCTCTCTGAGCCCTTTATGGGCCCTGGGTGCCTGGGGCAGGGGCAGGAGGCGCGCCTCCAGGGCAGAGAAAGCAGTTTGGAGGGGTTACCTGTGGTCCACCTTCTCCTCGGAAATCCACTCCGGGCGCTGGGGGCAGCCAGTGGGCTGCAGGGATGGCGAGGAGCAGCTGGGCTCAGCGTGGGAGTGAGAGATGGGGGTCCCTGAGTCATCAACGAGACAGTCATATGACTTGTCACCCCCACCGACGAGCGGCAGGTGGCCTGCCCTCCCACCCCACCCCCACAGAGGCAGCCCACGCTGCCGAGGTCAGACAGGGGTCAGCCACCTCCAGACAGATCACAACACAGATAGAGGCCGGGCACCGTCTGGCAGGAGCCACTGGAAGGCACCGAGGGATGGACAGACCAGCAGACGGACTTCTGCGCGGTGGTCAGTCACACGGGAGGAAGCAGGCAGGAAATTGGACCGGGCACCCATCGGTCAGGCCGAGTGGAGGGCATTCAGCAGAGACGACAGTCGGTGGTGTTTCGGGGCCCGGCCGCGCGCCAACCCCGCCAGTCGCATGCGCCGGGGGAAAAGCCAGAGCAAAATGTGGTCCGGGAGCCAGGGCCCCGGCACTCGAAGCCCCGCCCACCTCGTGGCCCCGCCCTCTTCTCGCCCCGCCTCCCAGAGCCCCGCCCACTGAGCGGGGCCGGGTGAGAAAGAGGTGGGAGGTGGCTCCGCTGCGGCGTGCAGCAGCGCCTCCTTCCTAAGGTCACCCGCTAGGAAGACATTTGAAGCCACTAGCGGTGACGTCCGTCTCTTGGGGGCGGGTGACATCATCCCCAGAGCCCTCATGCGGGCCTGCAGGGCGGCCGCAAACCGCCACGGGATGGAAACTGAGGCTCTGGGGGGAAGCGAAGGCACAACTTCCTGGAAGTCGAAGACCCAAGAAACTCCAGGTACAACTGAGAGAAGATTGAGGGTCGGGGCGGCCAGAGATATGCCCAATGGCCCCCGCACAAGCCCCTCTTCCAGAGATTGCCAGTGGGCCCTGGGCGCAACTATTCCTCCAGACTGCCAGGCCCTAGGGGTCACCTTTTGAGACCTCCCCTCTGGTCAGAGCCAGTCCCTCTGCCTTGGGACCAGCCTCTGCCACAGAGCTGCAGCAAGCAGGACCCTGCCCCCGAAGCCCTTCAGAATGGAACCTTTGGGCCATGTCACACCACCCTTCCCGTTGCTCAGCTGCCAAATAAGGGCACAGGGCTCAGAGCACAGGGGAGAGCAGGACCTAATGGCAGGAGAGACCAGGCCCTGGAGAAGGACGTTGTGCTTGGTGGGGTAGAGGGACACTGAAAACGAGGAAGGCCCTCAAGATAGATGGTTACAGCGACTGCAACAGGGGGCTCGAGCAGGGGAGTCATGGTGAAGAGGGTGCAGGACCGGGCAGTGTCTTGTTCCGTTGTGCATGGGGCCACTGTGGGTCAGAACTGACTCTATGGCACCTCACAATGACAACAACAACGGGGACGTGACTCCTGAGCCTGTCCCAGGCTGCAGAAATGGGTCCAGGTCTGACGTGGGGTAGGGGCTATTCCGTGTGGTTTTAAGGTCACAAGTTGGCGCAGACAGACATACTGCCTCTCCCCATCAGACTTGGCGTTTTGGGAAACAACTGATCCACCCAAGGGAGAAAGCATCTTGCAAATGGCTTTTTCTTTTTCTTCTTTCTCCAGCTGTTTTGGGGAATGAGGTACAAATTCCCCTGTGGCTAATTTGAAAGATGTTCTCCTGCCTATCACCGATATAGTGCGTGCTCTCTGGAGAACACGTCTTAGAAGTAATCCAGCTCTGTTTTTCTCTTGTTCTTCAGGATGAGTTTTCTGATATCACCAACGGGAATTCGTGATAGAAGAAAGATCAAGAGATGTGTGGGTAAAACAAGATCATATATATACTGAGAGCTTGCCCTGGGTCAGAGGGAACCCTGGTGGCATAGTGGGTCTGCGCTAGGCTGCTAACCTCAAGGTCAGCAGTTCAAAACCCCCAGCTGCTCCATGGAAGAGAGATGAGGCGTCCTACGAGCTACGGTCTCAGAAACCCACAGGGGCAGTTCGACCCTGTCCTTTAGGGTCACCATGAGCTGGAATTGACTCAATGGCACTGAGCTTAGTGAGTTTTTGCTCTGTGCCAGCATTCTAAGGACTTAAAGGTACATCAGCCAGCTTAAGCCTCAGAGTAATTCAAGAAGATAGTCATCATTGTCATCTTCACCCTTATTTTACAAATGAGTTGATTGAGGCCCAGTGAGGTCAAGGTTACACAGGGGGTGGGTAGCAGTTGGGATTGGATTTTAGGCGTTGGTTAGCCGAGCTCATGTTCGTCTCGATCACTACACTGCTGCTCCATATGTACTCACTCAGGGACTCCCATCCCTCCTCCCTCCCCCCTGCCAATGCTCCTTCCTTCTTCTTCTTCCTTTCATTCACCCACCAATCCACCCATTCTTCTGCCCATCGACTCACTCATCGATTCCATCCATCAGTACAACCCCCCCTTCTATTCTTTCCTTCCTTCTTTCTACCAATATTTGAGCAAGCCTTTTAACTGTGCGCAGAGGACACCTCACAGACACATGAACACAATGGCAGCCCTCTCAGAGCCTAGATTCTAGAGGAAGAAACAAACAAAAGAATTAACAGACCAATGTGAGGTAAATTGTACTAAGTGTCATTCATAGGGAACAGACTACGGGTCAAGGTAGAGACTTTTAGGGGAGCACCAGATCGGAGGGACCCTATCACGAGTAAGAAACATGTTAGGCAGTGGGGAAGCACGGGCCACCACTCATCTGTCAGGGTTGTACTGCAGGGCCTTGCCTGTTACTGTGATGCTGGAATCTGTTTTTCAACCGTTAGTCGGGTGGACAGGTTTCAACAGAGCTTTCAGATGAAGACAGACTAGCAAGAGGGACCTGGTGGTCTACTTCCAAAACGTTTAGCCAGTGAAGAACTTATAAAGAGCAGCAGAAACCTTTATGAACAGGTGCAGTGCTAGAAAATACGCCCCACGGTTGGAAGGCTCTCCAGTAAGACGAGGAAAGGATTACCTCCTCCATGTGACAGTCAACCTCAGTGACTTGGGTAAAGTAAAGCTTTCAGGACCTTCACCTGCTGATGTGGCCTGACTCACACTGAGAAGAAACAGCTGCAGCCGTCCATCAGTCAGTGGAACATCCCTCGTACAAAGTATGAATCTAGGAAGACTGGAGTCGTCAGCGATGAAATGGAAAGCATCAGCATCACTGTCCTAGGCCTTATGGAGGGGAACCGGACTGGCATGGGTCATTTTGAATCAGCCAGTCCTCCGGCTTACCATGCCTCTCACTGCATCGAGTCAATTCTGGCTCGCAGGGATGAGGTGGAATCACCCGTGTGGGCTTCGGAGGCCATCGATCTTTACGGTACTAGAACATCTTTACGGTCTTTCTCCCTCGGTGTGCCTGCTGAATCCAACGACGGACCTTGAGGTGAGCACACCAGTGTGTACCCACGACGCCATCAGGCACGCTCGTGTACTGTGTCAGGAATGAAAGGAATGGCGTCACATCATCATGATAAAGAATATTTCAAGATCTATCCAGAAGGATAGTGCCGGCAATGACAGTCTACTATCCACACGCCTAGAAGGAAACTTGGCTGATACAGCTATTGGTCAAATGCATGATGCAACCACTCATGTCAAGAGGAAGAAATGGAAGGTTTTTACCAATTTCTGCTGTCTGAATTGCTGGTGATTGGAATGCAAATGTTGGAAACAAGAAAAGATTGGTAGCTTTGATGATAGAAATGAGGTCAGAAATCTCATGGCAAAATGTGCAAGGCCAATGACTTAGGCATTGCAAATGACTGTTTTCACCAACAAAAAGAGTGACTATAAACTGGTGACTCTGTGAGGTAGGCATTGGTTGGTTGTTCAAACCCACTAGTTTCTCTGTGGAAGAAAGATAAGGCTTTCTGTATCCTATCACTATCTATCTATCTATCTATCTATCTATCTATCTATATTCAATCTATATGCTGAGCAAACCATCTGAGAAGCTGGACTATATGCAGAAGAATGTGGTATCAGGATGGCAGGAAGGCTCATTAACAACCTGTGATATGTAGATGACACAACCTTGTTGCTGTAAACAAAGAGGACTTGAAACACTTACTGATGAAGATCAAAGACAACAACCTTCAATATAGGTTACACGTCAACGTAAGTAAAATGAAAGTCCTCAAATTGGACCAATAAGCAACATTCCAGTCAGCAGAGAAAGGACGGAAGTTTAAGAATCTTATTTTCCTTAGACCCATAGTCAACACCCCCAGAAGCAGCAGCTGGGAAATCAAATGACCCGTTGTATTGGACAAATCTGCAAAAGACTTCCTCAGATTGTTAAAAAGCGAAGATGTCATTTTTAGGACTAAGAGGTGCCTGATCCAAGCCATAGTATTTTCAATCGTTTCATGGACATGCAAAAGCTGGGCAATGAATATGGAAGATCAAAGCAGTGATGCCTTTGAATGATGGTGGTGGTGAAGAATTGTGAGTGTGTGTGTGTGTGTGTGACAAACTACCTGAAGAACAAATCAACCTGTCTGGAAAGAACGATAGCCAAAGTACTCCTTAGAAGAGTGGTTCTCAGCCTGTAGGTGGTGACCCCTTTGGGGGTTGAACGACCCTTTCATAGGGGTTCCCCGATTCATCACAGTAGCAAAATGCCAGTGATGAAGTAGCAATGAAAATAATTTTATGGTTGGGGTCACCACAACAAGAGGAGCTGTATGAAAGAGTCGCGCGGCATTAGGAAGGTTGTGAATGAAGGGAAGGTGGTGAGACTTCATCTCATGGATTTGGGCCTTGTTATCGGGAAGGGCCGGTCCCTCAAGGACATCCTGCTGGGCTGAGGGTCAGAGGAAGAGAGTCAGAGCCTCAGGGAGCCGGATGGATCCAATGGCTGCAATGATGAGCTGCAACATCACAAGGATGGTGAGGACGGCTCAGGATCCAGACGTGTTTCATTGTGGTGTGCACGGAGTCACGAGAGGACTGCTCACAGTGACAACAGTGACAAAGCCCTAAGGTGGGAA